TAAAGCAGCAAGCGGATGATCTTTGAGATGAATGACACAATCACTTCCAATAGGATTTACCAGTTTCACTGTCACCCTCCTTTTCACTTCCATTTCCCCCTTCCCTGGGTTCCCAGCTGTCAGTCTCTGGGCTACAGTCCTCCTGGATCATACAGAACAGAGTCAAATACACTGAACAATCACTGGGGCAATGAGCTTGGCGTCTTCTTCTTGATGACATCCTGCTCTCTATGGTGTTTACAGTCCAGAGACCCCACGGAGCCTCCCAGATCATAGACACTAGGGATTCTGATTTCAGTGGGATATTTCCCCCCGTGCCTCAGTGACACAGGCTGAGCTGGGACCCGCCCCTGACCCAGAGCCAGGGGTAGATTCTCTCTCCAGTGAAAGAGGCTGGCGGGAAAGTGAAGATTGGGGCCTGGTTCTCAGCATCAAAAAATGCCAGCTGCCCCCGTTCATAGTCCAGACAAACCCGGATCCTGCTGGGGCCGCGCCTCAGGGTCAGGGGAATCTTTGGGGAGGTGAGAACCTGGTACTGACCCCCGTACAGCCTCACAGCCCAGATCCCCACCTCAGGGTTTAGGTTAGACATGAATTCTCCCTTCCTGCTCACAGACGCTCTGGCCACCCCCACAGCCCAGTACTTCCCATCCCCCGCTTCCACCTCCCAGTAATGTCTCCCCGAGGTGAATCCCTCACAGCCCAGCACACAGCACTCATAATCAAATCTCTCGGGGTTGTCAGGCAGATCCTGCTGGATGTCTCCCTGCCTCACACTTTTCCGATCCTCAGAAACGATGAGTCGGGGATGAGCCGTGTCCGGATCCAGAGTCACATTCACTGAGGGAAGAGACACATTCAGAGCGTTAGGGGCAGAGCTCAGCCCCGGTGTCAGGTTTGATCGTGTGGGTGACAGAATCTTCCCCAGCTGGGGAGTGAATCAGAGAATCTCCTTCCTCCAGGATCAGAGGTGAAAGTAAGCTGGTACGGTCCGGTACGGCATACCGGCAAGAGCCAGTACGCCATGCCGGACTGGACCGGCTTCCACGGCGGTGATTTAAAGGGCCCGGGGCTCCAGCCGCTGCGGGGAGCCCCGGGCCCTTTAATTCTTGAAAGGCCCCACCTCTTCCGATTGAGGCCACGCCTCTTCCGGTTGAGGTCACGCCCCTGCTCAGGACTCCAGCGTACCGGTAAGTCCTTTAAGTTACTATCACCCCC